TGCACCTGGTACTAAGTACTTCAACATACATATTAATAGGACTTGCAAGTGTATAGAACAAAAATCATAACAAATTGATACTCGTATTATAAAACTTCTAATTTTCAATGCAAATTCATTATAATTATTTACATTTATTTATTTAAGGGCAGCTTACAAGACAATACACTGATAATAGCATTATTACAATAATAAATAGCATGCAAATAAGTGTTGCCTCAATTACAAGCTGCCACGGCATGTACAGTTACACAGGAGGAAACACGTGAGAGATGTTTAAAAAGTTTATGCTTAGTTATTCTATCATTATGATAACAATTACTTAAATGTTATAGACGTTATTGATATAAAGTCTAACTGTCATCTCTTGTCAGTCTCATCCTTGCCTATTAGTTGTCTTTCACAAGACCAGCCCGTCTGCAAGCAAAAAGTTTATAACATTCCCACCCCCAGTATTGTGAGACAATACTTAGTCAGGGAGGGGAGTGGTGTCAAGTCAGGTCTTGTTAGCTGTCAGATTTAGTCAGTCGTCAGATCCTGTGACTCGACCGTCAATCCAGTCAAAGTCCAGTCTTGTCTAGGCGGAAGTTGAAGTCGGTGGTCTAACGTCCAGTCGGCAAAGTTTGGTCACTGGTCGTTTATAGTTCCCTAGGGCAGTCTTAATATCAACTACTCTTACTTGTCCGTCGGATCCGGGATAAATTTTGGTCACTAGTCCCCTGGGCCACAAGTTTCTTGGCTGTCGATCGTCGCATATAATAACTACGTCACCTACTTTCAATGGTTCCATTCTCTCGAACCACTTACCTCGTCTGGTTAGAGTAGGCAAATACTCCTTTCGCCACCGCTTCCATACGAGGTCTGCCAGTCGTTGAGAATGACGCCATGACTTTCGTAGTAAATCCCCATCGACGAAGCTGTCCAAAGTTTGCGTCGTGAAGTCACTCTGTCCGCCGAAAATAAAATGGTTGGGGGTCAAGGGTGCGTCATCATTGTGGTCGAGTGAGACATGAGTTAGTGGTCGACTGTTAACCATGTACTCTGTCTCAGTCAGTAAGGTTAGTAAAATATGTTCTGTTGGAGTCTGTTCTGTCAAAGTTATTTTCAGTGCAGTCTTTACGGCTCTAACCATTCTCTCCCAACAGCCACCATGATGCGGGGAGTTAGGACAAATGAACTTCCAAAGGATACGGCGTACACTTAAAAATTGTTTTAGTTTTTCTAAGTCTATATTGTCAACATGTCGTTTTAACTCTGCGTCCGCCCCTTTAAAAGTTGTCGCATTATCACTCCAAATTTCAAACGGTGTCCCACGTCTAGCCATAAAACGTCTTAAAGCCATAATAGCACTGTCAGAAGTCAGATCGTCTACTAGTTCAATATGTATAGCCCTAACTGTCATGCAAGTAAACAGGGCTGCATACCGCTTTTCATGTCTTCGTCCAATCTTAATAGTCATCGGTCCAAAATAGTCTAGTCCAGTGTACGCAAAAACCTTGATTGGGGTTAATCGGCTAATAGGAACTTGACCCATAAGTGGTGGTGTCGGTAAAACGCGGAAATTTTTACATACCTGACAGATACGCCAGGCTGCTTTAACAGCTGATCGCCCTCGTAAAATCCAAAACTTTTGCCGGATATCATTAAGGACCTTTTCTTTGCCAGTATGGGCAGCATCAAAATGATACTGCATTACTAACAATTTCGTGTAATCGTCGGTAGGTGACAAAACAATCGGATTTTTTGTGCTATAGTCAACCGTTGCGGAGTCTATACGTCCACGTGCTCGTATGATTCCTAGCTCATCCATAAAAGGCACTAACTGAAAAATACGACTATCTTTATCGACTGTATTTCTAGTTGTTAGGGTATAACAGTCATTGGGAAACGATCGTTGTTGGCTATCTTTAATAAGCAATAACTCGGATTCTTTGATCTCATCAGCTAAAAGTTCACCATCTCGGCGTTCACCTTTGTTCATCAAATTACTTTTGAAGCGCAAAATCCAAGCTGTCGTGCGAACAAGTCGCCAATATGATGAAAATCGAGTAATATCAGGTAACCCGTCATTTATAACGGTTGTGATTACATATGAAATCTTCACTTCAGGGTCGGAATCAAGATTCAAGTCTGTCATTCTAGTGTCTTCAACAGGCCACATACTCTCGTCCTGTTTAAGAAAGTCAGGTCCATTTACCCAAAGAGAGCTGGCCTCCTGAGATAACTTCTCTCGTGTCGCGAGGTCAGCATTGTTGAGATGAGTAGGAACCCACCTCCATTCACAAGGATCGGTAAGATCTGCAATTTCGCTGATTCGATGGGCGACAAAGGGTTGGAAACGACCTGCATCCGATCTAATCCAACTCAATACTGTCTTGGAATCAGACCAATAAACGACACGACTAATCATAAGATCGACATGCCTCTTTATCGAGTGTGCCATTCTTGCCCCTAGTAAAGACCCTTGAAGTTCTAGTCTGGGTACACTCAAAATCTTCAATGGTGCTACCCGTCCTCTAGACATAATCAAAGATACATGATAAGTGTCGTGTGCGACTGACCTCATGTAAGCCACTGAAGCAAAGGCTCTGGTACTAGCATCACAAAATATGTGGACTTCGACAGGACCCTTTGCGTCCGACTGCATGCATAACAACCATCTAGGCACCTGTAGATTGACCGCTTGACGCAGTTCTTGTAACCAAGATTTCCATCTTTCATGAAGTTCATCTGTTACTTCATCGTCCCATCCTATTTTTGTATTCCAAATATCTTGTAAGATAATACGTGCTTTGATTATTATGAATAACAAAAAACCTAAAGGGTCAAACACTGACATACAGACCTTTAGGATATGACGTTTAGTAGGGTGTTTATTACTTTGGCTGTCAACCATGTCCGTTAGACTAGTGAAAACAAAATTATCACCACTTGGCTTCCACTTGACACCAAGCACCCTTTCTACTGCCAACTCTGGCATATCATCTAAAGTCTTAGCTCCAGAAGTTGACAGTTTATCTACAGGTAGGTGTCTCAATACGTCCTTGGAGTTACTCATAAAGCTCGTCATATTAAAGCCTCCTTGAGCGTGAATGTCGATCACGTCATCGACTAACCTTATTCCTTGGTCAATTGTGTCCACTGAAATTATCAAGTCGTCCATATAATGGTGGTCCGTAATTGCTCTGACAGCATCGGGATGTGTATCTGAAAACCTGAGAGCATTCACATTTTTGACATATTGTGCAGATGATGGTGAGCAGACGGCACCAAATATCATGACATTCATTTGATACTGTCCATCTTCCCACAGAAACCTTTGGGCATGTTGATCTCGCTCAGTGATCAGTACTTGATGGAACATCTCTTGAATATCTCCCATGATAGCATAGCGGTGACATCTAAATTGGAGTAACATACCTGGTAATGAATTTAAATAGTCAGGTCCTGGCAATAGAAAATCGTTTAGAGACTTACCCCCTGACTTTGCTGCCGCATCAGTCACAAATCGCAATTTATTTGGCTTATTTGGGTTGAAAACGGCAAAATGAGGTAAATACCATGTTTTGTCAGTCCGACAATGTGCCTCCTCGGATGTCAGTTTACGAGCATAACCCTTTTGTTCGTAGTCTTTGATCTTCTCCCGGTACTTTTGAGCAAAATCTGGAAGTTTTGTCATCTTCCTCTTGATGCCTTGCAGTCTGACAAATGCTTGGTCAAAACTGATAGGTAGTTGACAGCTCTGGTCCCGCCAAAGAAGACCGGTCTCCCATCGCTTACGCTCAGGTATATAGCGTGTGGTCGCTTTCAAAAGTTCCAAAGCTCTTTTATCTTCACGCGAACGGGGTGTATCTGAGTTAACTTTAACACCAAAGTCTTCAGTCCGAAAAGTTTTCTTGTAAGTATCATTCAAGTCTTCGCATGAACACTGAAACACGATCACGTCATTTGACAGGCTACCAGTAGAAATAGTACCATGCAAAACATACCCTAAATTAGTAAAAGAAATCATCGGTCCACATTTCGGTCCTTTTATTATTTGTCGAGTAATAATAAGGTCGATATTATCTTGTCCAATTAGTAATTCAATCTTTCTAAATTTAAAGTCACTTTCGTCAAAATAGTCTGTCAAAAAATAGCAGCAATCATGTTAGATTTAAACAAGTTAAATTTGGAAAAAATATCTAATACGTTATTTCTTTTCGCAATTACATTATATTGATTTTGGCTTCTATTTAATGCCTGCCATGTACATTAATAAAAGCTGTGTAAATATTGCGCAAACATTAATTATTATCTTAAAAGTTTCATAGAAGATATTCAGTATCCTAATAAATGTGAAGAGAATACAACAACTCAATTTAATTTGAGTGATTTTATTTTATTTTCAATATCTTAGGAAAACTTACAGCTAGGTTATACTATACATAGTTTTTTTATTATATCTATAAAGAAGGCCAATTACAAGTTTCCACTTATAGGTTATTGAATAATAGACAAAACAGATGACAGCTAAAAGCATTATTTATTAAATCACAAGTAGGTTAAATTAATAAGACGTTAATAAATAAAATAAAAATAATAGTGGACTTTTCACATAGATCATCCGTTAAATAACATTATTACAAAATAAAACTTATTTTAAATATTATTCAAATTAAATAGTTTATAAAAATTAGATTATTAAATTTGCAAAACATGTCAGAAAAACGCATTTCTATAGGTAACTTATATAGCTTAGAGTTAAAAAAATATCATCTAACCTATAGATATTTTATTTATTTATTTACACAACACAACAAAACAAAAACTTAAAATTACTTTACAAATGGAATAATGCGGGTTCTCATTAATGACAATAGGTGCTGTTCGCTAAAAAGTACATACATTAAACAATAAAGTTACTTGTTAATATAACAAGATATGTTCATATTACATTAAACAAATAAATATTATAGAAGTAAAACATACATTTGATTAAAAAAAACAACTTTCTACAATTAATGTAAATTAATGTCTTTCGGCAATATTTTATCAATAAGACTGGCAAGGACGTTCAGCGCTCTATCATCCAACATTACATAGCCATATTCATTAGGATTGTTCATCAATATTTCTACATGAGCCAATCCCGCGCGGATCCTTTCCCTCTCCAGTAGTCTGGCACGCTCAAGGAATCCCGATGAGTAGTAGTTGTAGTTAGGTCTATTTACCACTAAACGACTCTGAAACCGGTCTTTGGTGCCCCGGTTGAGGGGCAGCTTCTCCACAAAGACGCCTCTGTTGCCAATTGGCGCAGTTGATTTTATCACCGCATTTCCAATTGCAGACGGAGGGCCACCATTAAAAGCGTAAGCGTCTGAAAATAAAAGTAAACTTCAGCAAATTTTTTAAAATACAGAGACACTTAATAGCCTTTTGAGTATTTTGTTATAAAACCAAAACTACTAATTCGATTTCAGTTTTGATGTAAGAACACCTCAAACCCATAAGCTATCGAATAAAATAATTTCAAAAATTGGTGAGCATACTCTAGAAAATACGTACCCATCGAATACAAAACCCCCTTTTCTTGACTTTGGAAATCTGTTTAAATATCGTACAACACCTTTTCAGCTTCTATAATATTTGTATTATAGGGATTGTAGAGTATACACTCACAAGAATCAGTTATTCTGTTTAGGAGCACTGTGTCTTTATCCAAATTAAATGTGGCAGATACAGGAGTATCTAGGAAGATTTAACAGTGACTTCTGAAATTAAAATACAGAATTCAATTGACAATTAACTAAAAAAAAAACAATGCTTCCGTATGGTGTCAACATCAGCCTCATATATTATAATAATACCTTAATGTTTCTTTTTTATGAATTAAAAATCCGAAAACGTTTGCTTGATACTTTTTTGTGCCAACAATATGATCTATTCGTAAGCTAATATATTCCAGAATTTGCAAGAATTAAGCTTGTCGAAATACTAGGCATTGAGAAATAAAATATATGTTACCTGATTCTGCTGATGTGTCAGGTTCGCTGCCCCTTGATTATCGAAATCAAAGATGTATTGCTAGGGTGCCTGGAAACAAACAAATACAGTTATTTATTAAAATTCAAAAATATACAAAAAATATTTTTTATTGAATATTATTAAGTATTTTTATAACTTACAAAATTGGATACACTGTTAAAATTTGAAAAATGATTCCACATTTGATTGGACGTTGTAAAATTTCACAGTATTTTATGACAACGTTACTCTTTAAATGGTAAATGTGAAATGAAGTCCTTTTGTCAATTGTCGAATTTATATTAGGCTAGGTCACGCAAATTTTAATGAATTCACATTTAAAACGATTCAATACTAACAATAACCGGAATCGATTACACTAATTGAATGTATTAATATTTACTACCCTTAATTAGTTAATGAAGGTATTTTAAATAATAATTTAACTAGTCATCATAAAAGACAAATAAATATATTTTTTTTGTATTGTGTATAAATATAATTTAAATTATCTTTACCACTGGAGGAGTTATCCGATTCCTTAGATGTTTACTCGCGGAATTCGAGAAGAGTTGCAATAATTATAAGACAAGAAGTTTACCCTCAATCATATTATAATTTATACAGTATTGTGATTGAGGAACCCATATATTATATTGCATCATTATTTATTAGTTAGTGCTCAGTATAAAAAAAGTCTACTTCAATAGGGATGATGACTGGGTAAAAAACATGCAATTCTATTTAGTCCGTCAGTCAGATAATAGAAAAATATTAGATACATATTTTTTTTACTTAAATTTAACAAGAAATAGCTTAGATAATAGGCATTAAAGTTGAGGAGTGGGAGCTCGCTACGTCACAGTTGAGTAGAAAACGTACTCTAACGTGACGTCATGCGAAATTTCAACTCAATGTAACGCCGTAATTTTATGATTACGAAAAAAATACGTGTTTAATATTTTTTTACACTCTACCTGACGGACAAAGAAACAAAAATTAGTCATCATCCCTATTTTTACTACAATAAATAACACACTACTTTAAATGTTTCGTATATAATATAAGTTTATTTATATAAATATGCCAGCGGCGTCACACGCGTGGTTCCTAGTAGAAAGAGACCTTTTACGTTTCAATAATTGATATATTTAAAATACCGATTCCGACAGTTTTAAAAAATGAGAACCCGCAAGTATATTGACGCGAAATTGATTAAACGTCAAAATAAAAATGATACGTAAAATTTATGTCTAAATTTAATAAACTTAGATTGCATTGCCTACAATTTTTCAATACAAGCAGTTCCAACAATGATCTCACCGGTGTAATCTTTCTATTTACCTGAGTAACTAGGTGTATTGATATAAATATGTTTGATTCATTCTTTACATGTCTACATGCCAGGGAGTATATTAACCACACAAATTTTGTCGCTGAATAAATTTCTAGCAAAATGACTTACCTAGGTAGATTAGTTTTTTTTAAGCCTATTGTGGGTGGGTGTATAAAATTGAAAATGCAGGCAGAAATAACGTCTTTTTTTTGCCTTCCCAAGTACCGAGGTGAAACAACCATCTTATAACTGGCCATTGCGAGGGTTGCTTTTACCTCTGCATTACATATCAAATGAAATATATATAAATCACAACGTATGAGGCTGATTTTAAGCAACACTATTTCATTAATTATAATAATAAACCAAATAAAAGATTTTATTAACCCTTGTTTCGTTTCAGTTACCACCGTTCGATGCCATCTCGACAAACATCAACTTAATTCATTTCGAATTCAGATGCAACTTTTCGTAATAGGATCTTGTAAGTATATTATATTAGTTATTGTTTGAAGTTTGATTAAATAAAATAATGGAAAATATCATCAACGTTTCTTAGATTTTATTATTTGAGAAAAAAATTGCATCCATCAAATTTGCACAATACATTAAAAAACTGCTTGAAATTCTACATTATTTTCTGGTTAAGAGAATTCTTTAGATTACTCAATTTTGCAAGACACTAATATCTGTTATAGGTATGTATTAAAATTTTAAATTATTTATCATTTGAAATTGTTTGCTGCTTTCCACATATATCATTGAATTGATTTATTATTAACATACGAACAGCGAAAATATTATATATATACATGTTTATTCGCAGTCGCATATGTTGAAAAATATTTTTTTTTAAAGTACCCGTACGTTAGTTTTTACAAACATGTCCAGACACTGAACTAAGAAATTAAGGCCCTTTATTTACGGAACTTTAAGAAAAAATAGACCAGATATTATAAATAATATTTATTTTTCAATCACAATTAAGGATTGAAAAACATGTGGGTGAGAACTACAGAAATTTAAATATCTTTGTATGTTTTAATAAATAATTTAACAATTGCAGTTTTCATACTTGATAAATAATAATTTTAAGATAAGATAATTTTAAGGCAGGTACTTTCAGAAAAATATTATTACATAATTTATCAGTTCATGGATACTTACCCTTAGCAAAGTGTAGTGTGATAAAATAAAGTGTCGTAGTATGTGTTGTTATTATGATTATTATTGTTTTTAACACAATATTTACACAGTACAGAGATCAATGGTGTAGTGGTTAGGTAACTTTCGCATGTGCCGGTTATAGTAGAGGTGATAAAAAAACTCCTCCGCGATACGGGAGGCTCGTTAAGACATTGGTTCCGGTTGTATCTTCAGTCATTAACACCCACCAATATGCTCTGGGTCCACGTGGTGGATCATGGCTCAGTCTCCCTATTCGATTCTAACCATAGGGAAAACCTGAGTTCCAGCAGGGCGGTATTTATAAGCTAGTGCTGATGATATCATAGTACTGTCACATTAACACTCAATATCAAACAATTAGTGCTTCTTTTCTTAAATTCTGCAAAAAACCTGGCTTTTGGCAAAGCCAATTTAACATTTTTAGAAAATACAAACAAAAATATATTTGCTACTTGTAATTACTTATTCTTGCAATATAAAAACGACTATATTAACAAATTAAGGGTAGTAATTGTTAAAACCATTGTTAGATTAATACATTCCTTTAATGTAATTTGTACTTCCAAACATTATGTGCTCCCAGCATCGTTTAATATTGTAAAGTTTGTCATTAATGTTTACCTGACCTATTCTTATATCAAAGAATGTCATTTCACTACAATTAATTAATTTGTCGAATCGGATATGGAATTATTGTTATGATTCATACAAATATTTTATTTATTTTGTGGAGTTTAATAATTACAAATACTATTTGTTCACAGGCACAATAAAATAACTATAATTTTAATGCTTATAGTGTAGCTAACATATCAAAGAGGTGAGTAAAAAGTAAAATATTTTTATACAGGTAGTATCCCGCCTATGTTAAATTTGTATACATATTTATTATTAATGATTTGAATTCTATTTCAGACACAATCATGGCGAAAATCACAAGTAATGGAGCATATAGTTTTGGAGTCCTATAAACAATGAATTTCAAAAACAGGTATAATTAAAAGAACATGAGAGCTATCATAAACTTACTGTCAATTTTTCTTTTTCATTTAATTTAACTTTATTGTACACAGCTGGCAACATCACCGTGAGCTTCATCAGGCAGATACTTCGCATAACTACCAAATCTCAAAAATTAAGAACTTTTACCTAAATTTTCACATCGTTACCACTGTAGGTTTACTTTCCTAATCAGGTTATCGTATAAGGGCTGAACTCTTCTCGTTAAAATCTCAATTGATTACCAGGACTCGCTTAAACATTTATCATGTATTATTTATTTATTTCTCTATTTCAGCTACTGACGGTCACAATAGGCAGCACGTACCTACTATTAAATTAAACGCACGAGGACCGCTTTTACTACGACTCGAATAAACCTATTAGAGGCGCAGTACCAAATAAGTCCTTACACTTCAGCTCAAATACGTGCTGCCCTCAGCTACTACTGACTGCAGCGAGCGAAAAAGTGGTGAAAGTATTATACCAGAATCGCCGTTTCAAACCAAAAAAGGGGAAGAATGAGAGGTGGAAGAAAGTTGGTCGCCTCATTCTTGCCTCGCTCGTGGAACCTCAGAGAACCCTCCTCAGAGCATTATAACGCTCTTGTCTAATAGTTTCGTCAATGTCGAGAAAATGATCTCACCGTCATTAGCTAATTATGGTACAGATGATTTAATGAATGACATCAATGAAATCATCATCAAAGAACTTCAATAATTACTTAGATAGAGATAGATATATACTTTAAGTTTTCTAATTAGCGTACATAAGATATGTTGTCTTTCTTTTCTTTATTATTATTGAAATATTGTTTGCCTTCTTTTTAAAAAGTGTTATTTGATCATGTCTCTTAATTTTTAGTTAACTTAGTTGTCACTTTGTAATTATTATATTTCAAATTTTTATTTACTCAATATTATTTAAGGAATCGTGCAATTCATGCCTTAGCCTTTGTTATTATTTATAAGTTGTAATTGTAGTTTTAGTTTGTTTATGATATTATTAAGTTCTCTAACTAGTGCTTATAAGATATTCAGTATTCTTCTTCTTTGTTATCATCGTTTTTATGTTTATTTTGTTTATTTATTTTGCCTTTTGCTTCAAATCTACTATTTGTTCATATCTCTTTACTAATAAGTCTGCTGTATTTTTTTATTATTAATTTGTTTACATTGAACAGTTATTGGGTTTTTTGTTATACAATTACGTAATAAATGTAAATAGAAATAGTTTAAGTGCCATACGTAGTTAACTCTTGATAAAATATGATTTCACTGTTATTGTTGCATGTTTGTCTTTTTGCTTATGAAACATATAGTACAAGTAATTTACATACTTATGTAAAATGAGTCTTTAAAATTTAAACTTTATGAAAAGTTATTAAGCTGTCTGTAATTTTACAACTCTTTCGAAAACATCTTTTATTTATAATAATTATAATAATATAAGTTAATATAATTATTTTATAATATTTATAAATAATATATGTTTACGCTTATTAATTATAATACTTATAATTGCCAACAAGCGTGTTAGATATGGTATGTGAATCTATTGACTATAAAATTGTTATCACCCTTTTTTGTACGTTTTTATATCGTAATGGAGAGTGACTTCATAGTCTTGTGAAGTCATTCTTCAATTCGACATCTCGAATTCAGGAAAAAATGAAGATTTTGTTGAGTTTCTTGCCGGTTCTTCTCAGTACAATTTCCCTCCGTAGATTTACGAATCGATGGTATAAAGTTTTGACCCACACAAATGCTTATAACATACTAGGCTGAATATAATATTTTAATTATTATACGAAATTCGTTTCTTTAAAAAACCTTTAACAGACTACATTATGTTAAATAATTACCCTTTATTATTATTAGTCTTATTACAATTTTTACAATATAGATAGCAATTTTTGGTTTGGTTTGAGCTGTAATGTAGGGCACAAGTAATGTAGGTACAAAAGCGTGCTTGCAGCTTAGAGATAAATTTTTAATTTGCACCCTCATAGTTAAAAGTAAGCGAGGTGTAATTTAAATATTTTCCGGAAGTATAATTAAGAGAACAACTACTCGAATATTTTTTATTAAATTTATTTCAGAATTACTTACAGACCGTATAGCACCTATAAGATAATGAAAAAATCCTCATTTTATTCCTTCTTACTTGTTATTTTTATTACGATAGTTTTAATCATATAATTAAACAAGAATTCTTCGCAATTAAATTCAACACAGAAATATCTTTATTCAACTAAAAAACGAGCAAAAGAATCCCACAATTTTTAATACAGTAATAACGACATTTGCGGAAATTTTAGCCTCCGTATAAAAATCAGCGTCATGTCGACTGGATTTTGTCACCATGAGATATTTAGCCGGCGGTTTTACACACAGTACATTGACCAATAATAGTTTTTACTGGCAACATTACCAATTTTATTACACTTTGCAACAGTGTGTGTTTTTTTTTAATTATTATTGTTATTTCATTAGTTCACAAATTAATAAAAGAAACATCACCAAACGAAATAAAATGATAAATATTATTCATATTTCTCTTATGTCTTCGAAGGAGAATAATATTAATATAAAGAATTTAGTTATGAAAGATAGATTGTCTTTAAAGGGAGAAAATACAAATAATAACAATGATGTCTTGAAAGTTTAGATAGGTTATGTGCGCACAATATTGGCAATAAAAACCAACCTGAGTTTCGCTTTAATCAGCAAGCGTTGTAGTTAATGTTTCACTCGTTATTTTCTGTGAAAAGTTATAGAAATAATAACTTCCTGCATGTTTAAACAGAAAAGCAAAAAAAGATACCATTTCTGAGTAAGTGTACTTATTCTTTTTTATTTTAATAAAACGTCATTGAATGCGGCCATTTTTTCGTGTTTTGTGAGGATGCAGCAGTTGATACGTAAAGTTATAAGTATGTTTATCTCATTCTAACAAGAGGTATGTTGAAAATTCTGATAGGGAGATAACTATTTTTGATTTCTTCATACTCTTTGTGGTTGTATTATAATCCAACGCTACTACAATAAAGTTTAAGCTGTACTAAAACGCAATTAGGTGCGGGTATGACGTGTCTAATAATAAAATGTCTTGAAATAATAAGAATTTTGTTCTCAAAAAAAATATGAACAAGGTAAGATGTTTAGAATAACATTAATTTTCTATAATAGTATAGTAATTTAGATAGAAATGTGAAATTATCACATAATACTAGAGATAGAAATGTTAATTTTTATTTGAAAAGCAATAGACAAAACGTATTTAAATCGTATTCTTTTCAGAAAAGTTTTCTTATAAAAGATTATCCTAAGAAAAGGACGGATCTCAGTAAAGTTAGGTTAAATAGGTTGACAAATATAGACAAATACATAAGACAGATTTCCCTATCAAATAATACGACCGATTAGTAATAATAATTATGTTATTAGAAGGTTAGGGAGTTATAGGATAAAGGTAGTTCAAGCTAATAGAATTAAAATATTTAAATTCCGGAAATTTGGTATTAGGTTAATGTAATATATTTTTATTGTTATTATAATAATTTTTATTTATTATTATAACTTAGATGATAAATTAAATTTTTAAGTTTTCTTAGTTATATATTGATAATGTTTAAATTGTTATTTTAATTTCTTTTTTATTTATGAAATATAACAGGTTCGATTCCTTGTTTAAGTTTAGTAAGCTAATTTCGAATAGTATTATTAGTTTTTTCCCTTAATCGAGTGTATGTTTAACTTATATTGTCATGTAAAATATTTGTGTATTATTATTATTTATTGGTTATAAAATTTCCAAGAATGTTTGTTAACATTGTTTAATTGTTTCATGTTCCTACTTCATCTGCTGGATTCCCGTAAGAGCATGATAATGCTGGTGCGTATCCTGATGTCAGCAATACGGTCTACTATGAAGCAACTCTGTTTATAAGTTGACAGATACCCACTTCATATGCGCGTCGTCATTATTATTGTATCGCGCGTGGTATATATACATGGGCATTGCGAGGGTCGGGGAATCAATTTTGTGCCATAGGAATTGGGTTTCGTCTTGTTTGATGCTGGACACACTTAGACTCCATAAGTCAATTTGTTGTGTCATGGATGTCAATGATTTATCATAGATGCTTATAAGATTTATACATTGTCATAGGCTATATCCGTATTTGGGTTATATATCAACTATAATAGATTCCATTTTGATCGATTTTAACTACGGGAATATAAAATATAATTGCTGTGTTTAAAATAAAATTAATTTTGCCGTGTTTGGTTTTGACGTCATCCAATATCAAACTTAGAGTTTTAATGATATTTGGGAGACGTACGGGTGCTTTTATTGGGATTTTGAACCTGTAGAGTTTCTGCAATATGAAGAATCCCGTAAGAAGTCTTTGAACAATAGTGTAGAGTAAATTGAAATTTCATTGCAGGAGCTGGTTTATTAGTATAGACCACCTGCTCTAAGTTCCTCAAGTAGGTGTCACACTAAGTCCGTGTTTAGACTTCTGTAAAAATGAGTCGAGCTTCTTAACACGCTCTAATACTTTTTTTAGGCAGTCCGGGCATGTAACGTCCGTGCATATTACTATAGGTAAGTTTACTCTCCGGAAGATTAATGGTCAATTCTGGCGTGTTCGAATTAGCGTTGTTCTAGCTTGCTGATCCCTGTGGTGGGGTGTCCTGAAAAAAGGATTATTATCATAGTAGCTTTAAAATTTTATTTGTTTAATTGTAATACAATACATAAATTGAATAATAATATATATAAAAAAAATATTCCATCAATCTTATTCCATAGGTAGTACTTATTAAAGAATATTATTACATATTTTAAAGAATATTATTACATATTTTATTTCATTAGTTCAAGGCCATTTTGATAATTATTATTGTAGTATATCACAATAGTCATATAGTACAAGCTCAATGGTGCAGGAGTAAGCGCGCCCGGTCTGTGATACCGTTTTTAAGCAACTTTCATATGGGCTGCTCGTAGGATAGATAGGTGACCATAAAATTATTTTCTCGAAATCCTGTCTAATTCGGAAGGCTCGTTAAAACGTTGGTCCCGGCTGTATCTGAAGTCGTTAATACCCACCAATACACTCTGGATCCACGTGGTGGGTCATGGCCCATTCTCCCTATTCGATTCTATCCATAGAGAAAGCCTGATTCCCAGCAGTGGAGACATGAATAACCTAGTGATGATGACATCATAGTACTGACACATTAAAACTCCATATAAAACAATTAGTGTTACTTTTCTTGATTTTATTTCATTCATTGTCCGTGGATTGTGGAATTTTATATTTTGGCAAAGGCAATTAAAATTCTTAACAAAATACAAACAAAAAAATATTTGCTGTTCGTAATAACCTGTTCTTGCGACATGAAATTACTACATTAACAAATTAAGGGTAGTTAAAACCTTTGTTAGCCTAATACATTTTTCAATTTAATGTAATTATGTATGCATCGTTTAGTATTGAAGATTTTTCATCATTATTAAGTTTTACCTAATCTATCCTAATATAAATACAAGAACTGATCAAAGGACTTCATTTCACTATAGATATTTGTACAGTACAGTTTCTACAAACATCTGCCAATTACGATGTCGAATCAAATATGGAATCATTGTTATGATAACGAAGCAAGTAATTCGGTAAGATAATAATATATATTTCTGAGATTATATGTATTTTTTATTTTGTGCACTTTAATAATTATTCATACTATTTGTTCACAGGCATAAAATAACTATAACTTTTATTCTTATATAGTAGTGAATATGCCATATGAGCAAAATCCGATAAGATGTAATTTATTTTTTTTATAAAACCGGGTCATACCCAAACGCTATCTCGCCTATCTCAATACTGTTTTCATGTTTATAATCTGAATTCTATTTCAGGCACAACCCTACGAGTATAGCTCGAACGAATGGAGCAAACACTTTTGGAGTCCTATAAACCATCAACTTCAAAATCAGGTAAAGTTAAGAAACTTATGATATAGAATACATAATTTCGATTTTTCGTTTTCATTTTTTCATTTTACTTTGTTATTAAACAGCTGGCTACATCACCGAGTACTCCATACTTACCCACGCCACACCACTATGCTTTTTCGTGTAAGTACCAAACCCCAAAAATAAGAAAATTGTCTAAATTTTCATATAGTTACCGCTCTAGGTTTACTTTCCTAATCACATTATCGTATAAACGCTGAATTTTAGTAACACTTCTCATTAAAATTTCAATTAACGATCAGGTCTCACCTAAATGTTTTTTGGTGGCACGGTATCATAATTTTTTTATTTTATATTTCAGTTACCGATGGTTACGATAGGCAGAACGTACCCACTATGAAAAGGAAACGCGTGAGGACCACTTTTACTGCGCCTCAAATAAACCTATTAGAGGCGCAGTACCAAAAAAATCCTTACGCGTCAGCTCAAATACGTGCTGCCTTCAGTTACAGACTGGGGATTAACGAAAAAGTAGTGAAAGTGTGGTTCCAGAATCGTCGATTTAAAGAAAAGAGGCAAGAACGAGAGCGGGAAGAAAGCTGGTCACCTCATTCTTCCGTCGCTCATCGAGCCACAGACCCTTCTCAGACAACAACTCCCCTGCCTAATGGTTTCTTTGATGATGCTTTCCTTAATGTCGAGAAAATCATCTCACCGCCATTACCTAATGGCGGTGCAGATGATTTATTAAATGACATTAATGATATCATAATCACGGAACTCAATATTGTTCCAGATAGGTAGAGGATTCTGTTTCTACCTATCTGGAGCTAACTAGATATATATTTTTAATTTTTTAAGTGTACTTATTTTGCATTTATTTTCCTTTTTATTTCATAAAAAGTATAATTTGTTCCCGTCTTCTAATCTTTATTTAACTTTGTTGATTTAATTCATCGTGGTATTCTTACCCTGGTCTTAGGCTATGTTAATATTTTAAAAGTATTATTCTAGTTTTAATTTTTTTAAAGATATTATTAAGTTCTCTAAATAGTGTTTAAAAAATATTTTGCATTCTTCTTTGTTATCATCATTTTTATATTTGTTTTGTTAATATATTTCGTCATTTGCTTAAAAATACTTTTTGTTTCTATCTTCTTACTTATAAGTCTGCTTATTTTTGTACTAATTTTAATTAATTTATCTACGTTGAATAGTATTTAGTTTATTTGCTATAGAAATATTGACTTGATAAAAAAGGATTTCACTTTTACTATTGTATATTTGTCTTTATGATTGTTAAACATATATTGAAAGTACTTTACGTTATGTATAATAAGTTTATAAATTTTGAAGTCTATGAAACTTTATTTAGCTAGCTATAATTTGTAAATCTTTCATTAAGATATACTTATGTATTACTTATGTCTTCTGACTCTAGTCCATTTTCTTTACCAATTCATATAATACAACAAAATATTACCAACGAGTTTAGTATGTGAATCGATTGGCTATTGAATTATTATTTTATTTTTTGTAATATGATAGAAAATAACTTCATAGTCTAATGAAATCCTTTTTCAATTCGGCATCTCTATATGAAATAAAATAGGGAGAAAAAAACAGCATTTGCTGAGTTTCTTGCCGGTTCTTCTCAGTACAAGGTCTTCACCGTAGTATGGAGGTGTAATGATATAGAGCTACGACCTACACAAATGCTTGTAACAGCTAAGACTGAATAAAAGACTAATATTATACAAAACTTGTTTTTATTTTAATAACCTAAAACGGACTTGTTGTTATTATTAAACTTATTTACAATTTTTACGATAAAGATAGGATAGCTTTAATGTAAGCACGAAGAGCGGTAGTCTCGTACCACAGCAATACATTTTTATTTTACAGCATCATGGTTCTAGTAAATACTAAGCGAGGTGTAATTTGAATACTTAGCGGAAGCATAATACATCAACCACTCTCTGCTGGCTGTGTAATATGTTTGTAGAACAGATTTTAAAATTTATTTTACTTAAGGGAAGCTATATTATACGCGAGTGACTTAGACTACAGTGTACGAGGGAAACAGCTAGTAACATAAAAATGCATAAGTAAATAACAACAAGGATTGATATATACGTTAGTAAAATAAATGTTAGTTTGTGATAATAACTTCCGCGGCGCAACCCTCAGGAAGGTTTACGATTATCACCAAAATCTGTTATACAAAAGAGAGGTAAATGTTTTTGCATAGTATAAACAAATAAGATCAAAATAAAACTTCAACTTATTTTTTTACGAAAGTATATTTAATTCAGAATACATACAGACTGTACAATTACAGACTATAATTCGTCGCAACCATTATTAACTCAAATGAAAATATCTTTATTTAACTAAAACGAGCAAAAGAATCCAACCAGTTTTAATACAAGTAACGATATTTCCGGAAATTTGAGCATCCGTATGAAAATCATGACGACAGAATTACGTAGCTGTTACACATGTTTAACCGGCGACTTTTCTAATAACAGTGGCACAGTATTGGCCAACAATAGTTTTTAATGACAACATTATCAATTTTGTAGTACACTGTGCACCAATATATGAAATGTATTTTTATTATTATCCAATTAGTTCACAAATTAAAGGATAATAGGTAACATTACTAGGGTATGTTGTCCATTGATTTATAGAAGTTTAAAAAAATAGACCATATATAATAAAGAATATTTAATATTCAACCAGAGTAAGTTGATTAACAATTGAAAAACCGGTGCGTGAGTCTCTCGACTCAACTATAGAAATTTAAAGACTTTTGAAAGTTTTAATACATAACAATCACAATTTTGGTACATGATAAATAATAATTTCAAGAAATGTAGGTTGTTGTAAATACTAACGAAACAAAAGTTAAAATAGGTACTTATTGAAAAATGTTATTACATAATTTATACTATTAAATAGTTTAAGACCATTTTGTAGCCAAAGAAATGCTAACACTGAAGGAATTACTTCGCATCTAGAGGAACTAAACAAGTCGAAGTGTTTTCATCTGTATTATATTGTAGTATAACATAGAACTCACATAGTACAGAGCTCGATAGCGCGATACCGTTGTTAAGCAACTGTCGCAAAGGCCGATCATACAATGGGTGATGAAAAAATATTATCACGAACTTCTCTGTGCTTCGAAAGGCACGTTATATACATTCAAGTGTGTGCAATTTAATAATTTCTTTTACAATAATAATTAAAAATTTCCGAGGATCGCAATAGGAAGCACATACCTACCGCTAAAAAAACGCGTGAGGACCATAAAATTATTTCCTCGAACTCTTTTCTCAATAGGGAGGCTCGTTAAATTGTTGGTCCCGGCTGTATTTAAAGCCGTTAACACCCATCAATACACTCTGGCTCCACATGGTATTCGATTCTATCCATAGGGAAAGCCTGATTCCCAGCAGTGGGGACATGGATAACCTAGTGATAATGACATCATAATACGGACACATTAAAACTCAATGTAAAACAATTAGTGTTACTTTTCTTGATTTCATTTCTTTTTAATTTTTCGTGGATTGTTAAATTTCATATTTTGGCAAAAGTAATTAAATATTTTAACAAAATAGAAACAAAAAAAATATATTTGCCGTTTGTAATTAGAGGAGACACTCTGTCTACGATCGAAAATTACAAAAATTTCGAATTAATCTTACAAGTTTTAAAAATCATATGCGTAAATATTATCTGTTCATCAGAAGCAGTGTCAGAGTCCTACCTCCGTTTTATTATTGATTATCGAAAATGTGTTTCTTTAGAGTCGCATTAGGGTTTCGAAAATAGATGTGTTATCATTTTCGGAGAAACAGAGTAGGCCTTCTGTTCTGGCGACATGAAATGACTACATTAATAAATTAAGGGTAGTAATTGTTAAAACCATTGTTAGCTTAATACATTTTTCAATATAATGTTATTGTGTATGCATTGTTTGGTATTGAAATTTTTCATCATCATTAAGATATACCTAACCTATCCTAATATAAATACAACAATTGATCAAAGGACTTCATTTCACTACAAATACTTGTACAGTACAGTTGCTACAAAAATCAGCCAATTACGATGTCGAATCAAATATGGAATTATTGTTATGATAACGGAGCAAGTAATTCGGTAAGACAATAATATATTTTTTTTGAGATTCCACTACGTCTCAAACAAACATATTAAAGGCGCAGAACCAGACAAGTCCTTACGCGTCAGCCCAAATACCTACGTGCTGCCATCAGCAACCAAGACAATAATATATTTTTCTGAGATTATATGTATTTTTTATTTTGTGCGGCTTAATAATTATTCATACTATTTGTTCACAGGCATAAAATACCTATAATTTTAAAGCTTTTGGTGTAGTTAACATGCCATATGAGCAAAATCCGGTAAGATATAATTTATTTTTATTTAAAAATGGGTCATACTCATACGCTATCTCGCCTATCTCAATTCTGTATTCATATTTGTAATTTGAATTCTATTTCAGGCACAATTCTACGAGTACAGGTCGAACGAATGGAGCAATAAGTTTTGGAGTCCTATAAACTATCAATTTCAAAATTAGGAAAAGTTAAAAAAACTTATGGGCTATAAAAACTTAATGTCGATTTTTCGTTTTCATTTTGTTTATTTTACTTTGTTTTTACACAGCTGGCTACATCACAGAGTCCTTCATCAGGCAGTGCTCCATGCTTAACCATGCTTTTCCGCATAAGTACCAAATCATAAAAATTATGACGACAGAATTACGTCGCCGTGACGACTTTTCTAACCACTGTGGTACAGTTTTGGCCAACAATAGTTTTTAATGTTTTTGTAGTACACTGTGCACCAAAATGTGAAATGTATTTATAACATTACTATGATTTAATAAGTTCTTAAATGATAGGATAATAGGTAACATTACTAAGGTATGTTGTCCGTTTAAAAAAATTGACCAGATATAATCAAGAATATTTAATGTCCAACCACAGTAAGACGAAAAAAATATTATCACAAGCTTCTCTGTGCTTCGAAAGGCACGTCATGCTGTATATTTATATAGACATTCAAATGTATGCAATTTGATAATTACTTTAACTATAATAATTAATCATTTCCGAGGATCGTAATAGGAAGCACATACCTACCACTTAATAAAAACGCGTGATGACAGCTTTCACTACCTATTATAACAAACAAACCTATTATAGGCGCAGAACCAGACAAGTCCTTACGCGTCAGCCCAAATACCTACGTGCTGCCTTCAGCAACCAACTGCAAGTTGTCGAAAAAGTGGTTAGGATGTGGTTCCAGAATTGCTTTTTCTAAGAAAGAGGAGGAGAGGAGAGGAGGAGAAAGAGAAAAAAAATCTATATAGAAGTCTCAAACAAACCTATTTGAGGCGCAGAACCAGACAAGTCCTTACGCGTCAGCCCAAATACCTACGTGCTGCCTTCAGCAACCAACTGCAAGTGAGCGAAAAAGTATTTATGATGTGGTTCCAATTTGCCGTTTCAAAGAAAAGAGAGGAGAAAATGGTATATATATTTAATGTTGTGCAGTTTAGTTTTTACTTTTATGTTAATTACCAAGGCTCACAATAGGAAGTACATATCTAACATTAAACGAAAACGCGTGAGGACCGCTTTTACCACGTCTCAAACAAACCTATTAAAGGCGCAGAACCAGACAAGTCCTTACACGTCAGCCCAAATACCTACGTGCTGCCTTCAGCAAACAACTGTAAGTGATCGAACGAGTGGTTATGA